ACGGCGACATACCGCCATAGAGAGTGCAATATAACCTAGTCCATATTTCTCACAAGACTCAGGATCTCCAAAAGGACTTCCCTTCTCATTGCATATAGCTGGGATAATGATGAGTGGCATATTTCCCAAATTCCCTATCGGTATTTACAATTTCATCATACTGATTAGATTCATATACAAAATTAGCTAACAGAAGATTCTAAGAAACTGATATAATGAAGTTACCAGAAGCACAACAACCGACTATAATGCCACGGAGATGCGAAGGAGGTTTAGTGATTTTGATAACAATCCAACCAAGAAACGAGCCAATGATGAATGTAAGAAGAACATTGAGTGGCATGAACCACCTGAGATTACATTTTAGACAAATTCAGTTTCAAGAAAAATTCAGAGGTTACAAAGAATCATCAGAGCAAGAACTTACATTTTGACTAAGCTTTCATATGTAATGGTCTCAGATAAACTGCTTGCAATGAGTGAAGGACTAAACACATAGAAAACTATCTGTGTACAAAACCAAACACAAAGTATTACGATCAAAATTAAGACGTAGCTAGCTCAGAGAAAAAATGATGAATCAAGAATGTTACTGACGTTGTTGAGCTGTTTTCTTGCATCTTGACCTAAAACATTAACACGATCAAGAGCCAAGTAAAATCCAATTCCTGTAATGACAAGAATCTTCACGACTGGTATCGATGAGGTTATGAACAGATCCAAAAGCTGCTTCATCGTCACTGTTAATCTGATATCAAATCCAAACAGATCGTAACCATTTATGCACGATTTTCGAATGCAAGAATCACGAGCCACGAGAAGAATCGAGCTAAAACAGAGGAAAGAGCAGAGCACCGTACCACCTTGGGAAGGAAATTGGAAGGTTTTCGATTTGAGAGATTATCGATCGATCGATCGTTTTGGTGGAGCTACGAAACGTAAAATCGAAAGGAAGCGAAGAAGAAGATGAGGAACTTCGTAGCGTCTCTGCTTTGCATGCCTCTTGGTTCTACTTTTAGTAGAGTGTATCAAAATGTGACTCCCTTTCTAATTAAGTTAAACATCATCAACTGTTTGTTTTATCTCTTTAGATTTTGTTTATTAGTACATGTAACATCAGAATATTTAAAAAAAATAAAGATTTTTTTTATTAATCTGAATATTTAACTACCATTTCTCCCTAGATTTTAATC